TGCAAATCGAAAATTTGAAAGTTTGTCCCTGGGAAGGGTCTCTATGCCTCTGGGGGGGTGACACCATTAAGTGCCGCACCGGGTGACACCCGACCTCGCTACGCCACTGGGCTATATAACACGAGGGGTGGGGCAGTTTATTGTTTTGATGTATTGTGTTATATCACTTCCCTACAATCAGACTTTTAACTCCACTTTTCAAAAATGTTCACAACAAGGCTGTCAAGTTTTGTTTTCCTTTACATTTCTAGAGTAAGGACTTGGTAAAATTACATTGTTGTTTAATGACTGTGAGAGATATGGCTACGAAATGTTTTCCCATGATGCTTTGGTGCATTTAGAACACAAGGATGTGTAAATCTCAGGGTAAAAAAAACCATGTAAAAATGGAGTTAGAACAATCTGGTTCTAGGGAAGCGATACGGTATGTGAGTTGGTAGGATCAAGAAAAAGATGGAGACACAAAAACACCTATCGCAGAAAAATTAAAAACACACATGAAAATTATTGGAAAGAGAAAATATAGTAAATGACAGAAAAGCGAGGATGGGTGTTATAAATGACCTAGAGTCTATGCTCCAATTGGAGTTGGTAAAGGCAAGTAAGAAGAAGTGGTATGTGCTAACAGAGCTGGGTGGGACTCAAGTGCGTCTTACAGTCACAAGTCCGAACCAAGATCCGAACTCGAGACATTCTGGCTAGCAGCCCAACGCTCTACCATTCGAATGTGGTCTATCCTCTATCATAATGTTATAGAAATTAAATTTTATGTTTAGGGTCCATATTAAAAAAAAATCCGATCAAATTGTCTTAATAAAAAATAAATTGATGTTTTATTCTCAAGACTATATAACCCACAAAACATAAGTCATTCTAAATAGTTTAGATCATCAGTTAAATATCAACAATCTTTCAAATGAGAACGGCGGAGTCAACATTTCTTTTGTCACGATTTCCCAGCCGCAATCTATCGTAACAACAAGAATGTTAGCAGATGACTAAGTCAGATCAATACGCGTTTCCTACGAGCCAAAAACGTTGCGCGCGCATCCGCGTGTGTGAGTGACGGTTCTTGATTGGTTTTAAATGTACGTGTGGTATGCGAGAGTCCAGTTACAAAAGCGACACGCTTGACCACTGCTGGCGTGTGGTTCAGCCTTTGATGCAGGCGAAATGGCTTTATGATGCCGAACGGGGTTGAAGATCAATAGTTTACAAAATCGATAAGTTACACTTAAAATCGGAAGCGGTGTGTTAATGAAGATGAACAATGGGTTAATTGTGTTGTTAATGAAGGTCTGGGCAGGTGTTTCAAGTCATACACACATTCTATTGGAAGGGGGATGGGGGGGGGAGGTTAGGGGTTTCTATATAAAATTATTATTGGGATGAGGCAGTATGTCCAACATTTCTTTTTATGTTATTAAATATGTGCATGACACTATATTAATGATACTTTTTTAATAAATATAAGAATATTGTTTACCATTAATTAAGTGTTATTAATTATGCTAATATAAAGCTTGGAAAGCGTGGTTTTTTTTCAATTAATTAGGCCTAAAAGCCTGTTTAAAGTATATTGGCCTAAGTGGTTTTTTATTTTGAAATAATACGACAGATTTTTAACCAGTAGTTTTGCTACATTGTCAAAATTTCAATGTGTGGCTTTGTTTTTTTTTTTGTTTTTGTTTTTGGGGAGTAGAAAAGAAAAACCCTACTATTTTACTATTGGAAAAAGTGTTCGTTATTTATTAGAAACTCTATTTAAATATTTCTAGTTTGTGATATTAAAACTAAACAAACCTATAATTCATGTGCAACTCCTCCCCCCCCCCCCTCTCAAAATAGTCATTAAGATTATAATGTTATAAAATAAGTATCGTCTAAACTTAAGCAAAATATTGAGAATAATAGCGCCTAATAAGGCTTAGATTCTAGACTAGATCAATACGACCATAAAATTACATGTAATCAGGTAAGATCTAGTTCTAGTTAAAGCAAATTACCGGGCTTTATTTGGTAAGTGATAGATCTAACCAATAACTTTGAAAACAAATAAATTCCGGTATCTTGTATAGTTACGTGGCATATATCTCTACTAGATCTATATACAAAATTAAATACGTTAAGGCTCTTGCAAAAATTGAAACAGGGTGAAACCGCTAGCCATTGCACACCTGAGTGATCAGTCAAGCGGAACAACAGGAATGGAATAACTAGCCTTGTTTAACAGCAAGAAATACAAAACAAAACAAATCACATACAAGTGTGTTCAATGTTGGCTAGCCCTATCTAGTACGGACATGGTTGTAGTCCTTGGTTCTGATTGTTAAGACAAAATATAAACAAATGGTTAATTAAATGTTAGATCTACTTACCTATAGGGAGTGTTTCTAGATCTAGATCTAGATCCTTTATCACACACCATGCCTCAATGAAAACAAGGATTTCTATTTTTATTTGGATAAAATTTTTGTCGCAGCGCCACCTGCCGTGCTATTTTTAGCATACCTCGTAAGACACACGCAGGTAGGACCTAGAAACAGCTGTTTCTGTTCGTGGTTGATGGTTAGGGATCGTTCACATTATAATATTATACAACACAAAGGGGTTGTGGGGTTTATCGATTTGTTATATTGTGTTATATGAAGAGGAGTTGTTATGAGGGCATTATGTTATGAATTGCTTTTGATGTGTATACTTTTAATTTTTTGTTCAAAGTATCTGCTAGCTTTTATTTATTTTACAATGTCTGTTTATTGATTGTTTGTGGGATATGACACATCTTGTAACCTAATTTTAGCCCACTTCTAATGCAGCGATTTCGTCCAAACTTTTTACTTACAGTCGTCTCCAGTGAAAATGCAAGAATAACTACTTTTTAAAAACAAATCTAATTAGATGTAAAGTTGGTAATTTTAATTTAATTTAAAAATTACTAAATTCAATACTATCGATCACTTTCAGAGTTTCTTCCAGGCATCTCTTCGGGGGGGGGGGCGAACCCCCCCCCCCCCCCGAAATTTTTTTACCGCCCCCCCCCCCCCCGAACGACATGAAATTTATATAATGTATATAGAAAATATATACTTTTAGCAGTGTACGCACCCCCCCCCCCCCCGAAGAAAGTCTACCGCCCCCCCCCCCCCCCGAAAATTTCAAGTGCCCCCCGGAGAAAAAAGTCTGGAAGAAACACTGATCACTTAATCAGCTAGTGTTAACTTTTCAATACTTATACCAGCTGGTCGTCGACTTAGGCTTCTTCTACGTTCTTAATTGTAATGTTGGACGGAATTTCCTCCACCTGTTATGGGCCGTTGACTGTGATTTCAGCCTACTTTTCTTTTGGGATTTGATAGCCTTTGATCAAACAAGAACAAACTACTAGGCAGAAGTTGTTTGATTTTGGAGTTGTCTCTAGAAAAGTTGCTGTCCCCATAGCTATCGAGGCTCATCTCGGAACTCGAAACTTTTCGGTTTAGCAACCATGTCGAGCTTTATCGACTCGACCACGCCGACGACGGTGAAGTGTTTACGGTAGAGATGCCTGGAAGAACTCTGTATTTGAATGAAAGAAGTGCTCACCAAAGTCTTGTTCTTTCAGTAGCGTAGCGAGGGGGGGGGGGCGGGGGGGGGGGGGACAGATGTCCCCGGGCGCCGAGCTTAGGGGGCGCCAAAATGGGTTGGAAAAATAGATTGAAAGGTTGAAGGGGGTGCAAATTGAAAGTTTGAGGGGGGGGGTGCAAATGAAAATCTCGAGGGGGGGGGGGGGGTGCAAATCGAAAAGTTTGTCCCCGGGCGCCGGGAAGGGTCGCTACGCCTCTGTGTTCTTTTAAGACTTTTCAGTGTTTTTTTTAATAAGACTTTAAAATTATCGTTTCTCAACACGTTTTAAATTTTACTTTTAAGATTTAGTTACATACATTTAAGGAAATCACTTACATAGATCTCCTGACATTTTTATATCATAGGAGATAACCGTGTAATTTTCCCCTTCGGTTAACGCACTAAGTTACTTCCCTTATAACGCAAGCGGATTAGGGCGAGTTTGTTTATAAAACACCTATGTAGGCCTGTTGTAATTACAAAGACAAAAGAAAGATAAAATTACGCATACATGACTTTGTTTTTAAGAGATAAAAGCTTAGATAATATGTGGCTTAAACGGAAAGAATGACTCAATATGATTGACTATCATCAGTAGCGTAGCGAGGGGGGGGGGGCGGGGGGGGGGGACATATGTCCCCGGGCGCCGACCTTAGGGGGCGCCAAAATGGGTTGGAAAAATAATTTTTTTAAAGGTTGAGGGGGTGCAAATCGAAAGTTTGAGAGGGGGGGGGTGCAAATCGAAAGTTTGAGGGGGGGTGCAAATCGAAAAGTTTGTCCCCGGGCGCCGGGAAGGGTCGCTACGCCTCTGACTTTCATTAAGCGTTGCCTTGTCAGGAAGGGTTGCTTACTAAACAAAATATAATCTATTTGTTTCCTCCAACGTAGAAAACAATACAATCTGATGGGCTTCTTTTTCTACATCGATAGTAATATTATTAAATGACTATCCATTTTATAAGTCAATAAGTTTGTCCTATGCAGTCAAGCAACAAATTTGCCACACAATAATGTGATAATATGATAATCTACCAGATGGTTGTGTTTAGCCTTCTAAGTATTGTTTTTGTAATCGTTTAATTATTACATATATCTACTATCTACCTACAATGGACTACCTTTATCATATTCTTTGATAACAATTTTTAAGTCGCTACGGAATAGACATTTCTGAATAAGCGAAGAAATAAAAACAAGCTTATGCACCGATAGAAAATGACACCAAATGAACTAGTTATTGCTCTGAGATCGTTATCCTTCGCAATCCCGGGTTGCACGTAGATTCTACTTTATGATTTTTTAAATGTTATTATTAACTTGATTTAGGCCTAGCCCTAACCAACTTGTTCAGGCCTGAACTATATAAAAAGATATCTCTCTTTCGTTGCCGAATAGTTGATTTCCGATCATAGAAGAGCTAGTGTATGCGCTCAAGATGGCGAGCTTGTTGAGGTCGGTCGCTCGACAAGGTCGGGTTTTGCAAATAGTTTCTAAAAATAAGTTCCTCCGAGTCCGTGCAGTCCCTTTATTTCAACACGAGGCCTGCATATCGACGTCTGAAAAGAAAAAGGATGTTGGTTCTACTGTTCAGCCGATGGAAAAATCTGCAGAACTTAAAAGATTGACAGAAATTTTCAAAGACTCAAACCCAAACAAAGAGGAGGTAATAAAATAAATAAGTGAAAAATCGCAATGACTTTACTTTTCCGTTTGTACTCTGCTGAGTCCACATAAGACTTGATTATAATGTTTGATTAATTTGCACCGATCATACCACTGCAATGCACACATGCAAGGCTCAAATTCTTAGCTGACACAAATAAAATTCTTGGTAATCTATCGTTTTGGGTACGTAAAATCGCCCGCGACTTGTAATGTGAAAACCAGGTGACTCCTTAAATTTTAATAATTTCACATTTTGAGGAGGATTTATGTTTTTTAAAATACAAAAATGTTTCCTTGTTTCATTTATGTACCTGTTTTTAAACTATTGAATTAAAACTTTTCCGTAATAAATGAAGACTAGCGATGTTTCCAACAGATGCAACCATGCTCATTTACTATAGCAGCCATCTTGTTTAAGTTTTATTTTATAAGCTTTTAGCGGGAGATTCAGGGGGAAGCCACTCTATTTTACAAATGGCTGCTGTTTAGGCCTATATAGCAAATCTTGCTCTCAGACACTGCTGTTTAAAGTTAATTTCTGGCCTATATCGATATATTTAGCCATTGATTTAGGTTTATTATTCATTTATCTATAATATTTGACACAAACATATGACAATATACTCCTATTAAAGCCTTGACAATGAGGTAACGTTTTCGTACATTAATAACCGCGGGCGATTTTACGTACCCAAAACGATAGATTACCAAATTCTTTTCCCCAATGGACATAAATTAAATTTTTTAAAATTAAATTAATTAATTTATTTATTTATTAATTAATAAAACTTGAATAACCTTTTAATCAATTATCCAACAGTTTTCACAAAAATACCCAATATAATAATTCTATTACTGAGAAGTCTGCAATTTTTTTTTAAACTTACTCTACAGATTTTGAGAAAAATCCATTAATGTGATAGATGTGGTTAAACAGATGTGGTTGGTGTTGGCTATGCATCATCATTCTTTTTCTGTAAAAGAATGTCCTAACTGAGATTAATGAAAACCTTCCAAATCTCATAAATTCTCACTGTTATTTTGTTGTTTTTCAATAACATATACATTTTACCTACTAACAGTTTTTAAAATACATGTTTTAAAATAAAAGTCATAATTTTTTTATTATAAAAAAAAAGGATTAGGTAATTTCATTTTTCAGCTTTGTCATGATATCTAAAAAAATATTAGGATTGATTTTTGTTTTCAACCTCAATAAATAATCAAATAAACCATACCTAGAGGTTTTTGGTATTTCAACTTTAGGATTAATTAGTTTTAATCCTTCCTCATTTTAAAAGAATTTTGGAGTTTATATTTGTTTTTATGAAACACTCACTGGTTGGTTAAACCCTTTCCCCGGCGACTGGGTGTAATCGACCCGAAGTCGCTATATTTTTGCTCATATCTCGAGTCTCGTTTTATAAATTTTTCTGGGCCTCATTCCCATCTATAAGGTGGTTTGGATGAACACATTGGAGGTTGTAAATTGTAAAAATATGCGTAAAAAATTTTTTTTATGAGGGTTTGAAATTTTTTTATACGGTCCCTGGCAACTGGGTGCTACACACCCGTACACAATTTTGAATGGAAAAAATATTTATAACTTAAAAACTGGCTTCTAACAATTTGTTTTTACTCATTGTGGGTTAAGTCATTGTGTTACATTTTCAAAGTTTAATTATAAATTAACAATCTGAAGGTATTCGAGTAACAAAAATATCAAACCGGATTGAAGTAATCAACTTTAGTAACAAAATAATAGAACATTAACATGTTTTAATAATTTGCACCTCAGAGAGCACAGTTGTTTGTTAAAATTAAAATAACTGGACATTTCCTTTTGCTGGCAGGGAACTTTAGTTTTTTTTAATAAAATATGGGCACCCTTTTAGTGGTGTTACATGAGTCACAGGTCCAAAATATTTTAATTCCATACTTATCGGAATTGCTTGGTATGTATTGGATAAATCTACTCCCACCTCTAAAATCAACCACTTGCTTATTAGTAATGATCTCTCCAGAAACATAACACCTTTCTGAATTTGAATGGAATATCTACCATAATGGAAGCAAATATACCATGAGCCTGATGGACTGTTAGTGTTATTGTTGTGAAGTGAATATGACCCAGAAGGTTGCTGAATTTCTTCATAGAAAATTCTGCCTTCAAAAACTTCCATAAGCAGAACTGAATTGACATACAACTAAATTGTTATTCTGCAGAGTGCCAGTGTCTCCTCTTGCTTTCTCTCCATCCCTGCTAATGCAGTCAAATATGGGTTGTATTATTTTTTGTATTCATGAACAGAAGAAATATTTAGGGTCAGGCTGTTTATAAATTTCCTGGGATTAGCACTTCAGGCAGTGGTCTAGTGTACCGTTACTTTGTCTTTCCTGAAAATATTTCTTTTTCTTCACTTTACACCAGCCGTTTCATTTCATTATGAGTGTCAACTGTTGACACATTATTGATAGTTGAAATGCAGTATATTGGGTAGACCTCGTCATCAGAGCTGCTTGATACTGATGGCTGCCATTCTTCATCTTCCACCTCTGATACTGATAGTTCAGACTCAAAACTTGTTGGTCATTTTCAACTGCTAACTAAAACTGGCAAATATATTCCTTTATCATTAGCACTTGAGTTTAGACAGAAGCGTTCAAGACTTGTTTCTGTTGTGTTCTCAATAACGTTTGTGACTATTTATAAACCTTACTCTCAGGGTCACAACCTGTAGAACACCCACCCCCCCTCCCAGTTTGATCAATTAATTGCCCAGTATTAACTTTCAAGCAGCATTACAAAGTTGTTTTGCCTTTTTGTCCTCATTCGTACTTCTAATGAGGTTAATGTCTAGTTACTCTAAAAGGCTCGAATGTCTCTATCTACATTCCAGAGCTCCCTACAAGAGTACAAATCACTATATATGTCCTCCCACAGGCAATCTTACCCCTGCATTTCATTAACCTATTGTAACTCTAAACTACAGTTCTGTCTGTAACTGCAAGTCAGAGCTCCAGCAAAGAGTATAAATCACTACATGTGTTCACCCACAGGTTAACTCTTGCTTGAGAATCCCATCAACCTGTAGTATCATATTACAGCTCTCCCATTGACAACATCATGTCTTGTGTTCCCCATGGCCACAATGCCCGAATACCTTAACTGTGTCAGTATTGTTACCCACCCAACAATGAACAAAGAGAAGAATTTACTATAACTATAAGAAAGTCTTTGGGTGTGATCCACCCAGTTGCCGGGGACAGGGTACCAAATATGTAATCATAGAAACTTAAATGGGAAACAACTTACAAATAAAAGTAACATCATAAGATGATCATTTTTACTTTTATTATTATTTGATTATTTGGGTAATATGATTGAACTTTCAGTGTGAATAAATTACTTATTTCACCAACATACAGTTGGTTATGGAAGAAGAAATGAGCTGAATAACATGTAAAAGTGCATCATGCCATGAACATTTTCATTTTGCTTAGATAAAGTAAAAATAAGATACTAATGCTAGGAAGTTTTATTATCAATCTAGTCATAATTGTTTGTTTTTTTTGTTATTTAGAATTACGTAACATATGGCTTAGATTCGGTAAACAGAGATAATGACTGGTTCTACCATCACTTGACCATGTTTTTGTGCATCTCTGTTGGAATCTGTGGAGGCATTTTTATTATAGCTTATCAACCAGACTACAAGTAAGTTGGGCTACCATTTCTTAGTTCTTTCTTTTAAGAGTGTTTGTTAAATATTATTTATGCATTGCTGTTTCCATCTCTACCTCTTGTCTTTGTCCCTATTGAATTCATTTATTCAAACTTGATGATGTGCAATCTCTATATGGGTTTTTTTTTTGTTAAGTGTCAGTATAGTGGGGTGGGGGTAAAAGTCTGCCTAAATAAAGACAACTTCTTATTTGATACCATGATTAATACAGAAATGCATATTTTTGGTATTTTGCAAACAAATTATATCAATTAAATAAATGTGTTTTGAATATAAAACTTTTTTTTAATTAAAATAAAAGCTTGCATATATTTAATATTAATGAACCATTTAAAAACTTGCATATATTTAACATTAATGAACTATTATTATGTAACAAAATCTTTGACCATAGACATTTTGAAATGACTCTTTACATAACAAAGTTTAACTTGATCAAATTCTACCATGTTTGCTTAGTACTATTACCATTAACTATTTATCTATTTTCTATGTGTAGATTCATGGACTGGGCTCAGAGGGAAGCATTCTTAGAATTAGAACGCAGACAGAAGGAAGGCCTGCCCCTGGTGGACCCCGACTATATAAAAGCCGACTCAATCGTTTTGCCGTCTGATGAAGAGCTGGGAGACACTGAGATCATTATTTAGATTTTTTTTTTTAATTGGGTGAAATCTATTTCTGTTACATAAAAAATGATGTTAATATCTTAGTGCTGTGTTAATAATTTTTGTTTATAGATATTCATTTCAGGATGGGGTTTTTTTTTTTTGTTGTTGTTGAGAGTCCACATTTAAATCTGAAAGGTTATGTGTAAATTCAGTTGTTTATCAATGAGATAGAGTCAGCAGTGAGGTGAATATAAACTATATAGTCTATCCTGAAAAACAGTTTTTTTTTGTTAAGACTGTAAGTACCTGATTAGGTAGGTGTAAGTGAATTGGTCTGATTTGTTGCAGAATAAATTTTACAGCTTGTCCGGCAATAGTGTCATTGCTCTTATGACTTACTGGGTTTTAAAAATGTCTTTTGTCATGCTAATTGTAACTGTAAATACAAGAATAAAGATAGTTTCAATATATTTTATAGGCTTTAACTGGGCCTTTTCATATGCCATAGTTAAATTATTTTTTTAGTTCATTTTTAAGTAGTATTAACTGTGACCTGTTAATAGGATTCAATTGTAGGGGTAGGGTTTTAAATTCGTCCCCTTATCAAGGGTTCAATCTGACCAATTGCTTTATTTGTTGGAAAATTATGTACATTTAGTAGGGCCTACATAGGACACTGTGTTTTGGGTAATTGAAGCTAATTACCTCCCTTAGTTGTATCATTAGGTTTTTCACAGGCACACATTTTGCGCTTGGCTCCCTTATATATAATACTTTCATCTTGTACTGGTGCTTATCTATGCAAGATTATGGTTGTTGAGCTGTACCTAGATTTGGGGATGATGTTGATGAGCGGTGGAGCACACAACACCTAACCTACCTAACTTGAGTCCTAATGGCGTCCCTGTGTCTACCCAGCTCTGATGGATACCTGACCTAGGTTAGGAAAAGAAAAGCAGCTGAGCACACTCTTCCTTCACATGCCAAGGTCACAGAAACAGGTGAACTCTTGACTCAGCATCATCTGTCCCATGGACTATTCAGTTTGAATGTGTAACATACTGAAGTAACAGTGGCTGCACAGTGTATTCATTTCCCTTGGAAGTGGGTAACTGTTATTTATTATTGCCTGTTGTCTTCATTTATATTTTTTAGAGGGCATGACTGCTAACCTGAGTTCAAATCACAACTGTTTAAGACACCCCTGTGTCACACTTGCTGGGATGTAAGGGTCTTCTTAAATCACGTCACAAACATAAGAGGGGAGAGGGTTCTAATATTGTGACAATGTATGGGGGGGTGGGTCCCTCAGATAAGGTGACGTAATTTTTTTGCGGTTTTTATGAAGACATTTTTTACACTGAATTTTAGCCTTTATTTCGCATTTTGAATACTGTTTTATTAAATTGAAAGTGATAAAAATATTCATTTTGACCGAGCTTAGTCAATATTTTAGAAAAAAACTAGTGTTGAAAAAAAAATTCAGCTGCAGTGTTGGGGGGGGGGGGGGGGGGGTTGTAGGCTTAAGTGAGACGTTTATTTAGGGGTTGGGGGCGGGGGTTTCTCTTTTTGACAGAGGGGTGGTAAAAATCGTCAAAAAAGTGTGACGTCATTTATAGATTACCCCATACTGCAAACCACCAAATCCTGTCTTACCCTCGGCGGAGGGGCGGACACTGGTAAAAGTAAATATTTTCTATATAAATTCTATTTCGTTCGGGGGGGGGTGGTAGACTCACTCCAAAGAGAGGCCTGGAAGAAATTCAGTGTTTTACACGCGGGCTTTACTGCATTTGCCAAAATTTTAAAACGAGTTCTTACTTACTGCCATAGATAGGATATAAATTGTTTATTCTATCTCAAATAAACCGGGATCGATCTCCCCTAAACTTTCTCGAATATCCTTATATAACATTAACACTATAGGGGATGGCAGCTCGGAATATAGACCTGATTTCTAATCAATTTTTAATTACTTAAACTTTTTAAAATAGAATCTCGTAGAAAAGAGAATTGCGCACGAAGTGAACACCAAATATGTGTACAATAATGCGTAATATTATAAGTACCTTATAAATTAACATTCATTTTTTGAGAAATCGGAAATAGCGTAAATTACAACTTCCGGTCAACGGAAATTACTCAAAGGCAGAGAATTGGATATATGAAATTTTATCAACCTAGCTGTAACAGTACTCAAGTTACTGTGTTCACACATACACACACACACAGACATTCGGAAAAATATTGCAAAACTGTTTTTCCGACTCAGGGAGGTGTAAAACGTCGAGATTTGCAAAAATCTCGATTTTTTAATAATTTTTTTTGTGCACGATTACAATACTTTCTCTATAATTCGTATGCGAGAAAGGAAAAACCTCTCTAGATATATCTATATTAAATGTTCCAGATCGCGACGGCACTAATTCTAACAATAAGCCCTCACAGTGGCGTAGCGAGGTCGGGTGTCACCCGGTGCGGCACTTAATGGTGTCACCCCCCCCCCCCCCCCCCCCAGAGGCATAGAGACCCTTCCCAGGGACAAACTTTCAAATTTTCGATTTGCACCCCCCCCCCCTCAAACTTTCGATTTGCACCCCCCCCCCCTCGAGTTTTTCTCTATATATTTTCCTATTTTTTGCCTTGGTGTCACCCCCCTAAATGGTGTCACCCGGTGCGGTCCGCACCCCCCGCCCCCCCCCCCCCCCCCCTCGCTACGCACCTGAGCCTTCACTAGGGCTTATGGTATACACTTCGTTGTACACGTGGTTTTTTTAAACGCTCAACACTACTCAAATGTTGGTCTTGATAAGTTTACAACCGAGTAGGGTGTTGCAGTAGCATAACTAGGTCGGGTGTCACTCAGTGCGGAAACTACGGGGGTTAACCCACCCGCTCCAATAATTGTACAAAATCTTTTTGTTACGTCCCCTTCCACCTTATTATTTTAACTGGATTAATCATTGCTTTGAGAGTAAATTTTACGATTTTTTTTTTCGATTCTGTGTCACCCTGTACAGTGTGTCACCCGGTGCGGACTGCACTCCCTTCCCCCCCCCCCCCCCACCGCCCTGGCGAGTTGTAGTGAGGTGTTTGACGTAGTTTTCCTGTCTAGAAATGTGCAACAACCCCCCCCCCCCCCCCCCCACACACACACACCAATTTCAACCCACCCCGGTATGTCCGTGCACTTGATGCGCGCATCCCGTGATCCTTTGCCCTTAATCCCTCGGGGTCAAAGCTGGTTATGATATCAGACATTTGAGTTCGCCTGTCCTGATTAATCCCAGGGGTCAAGGCTGGTTATGATATTCCAAATTTGAGTTCGCCTGTCCCGAGGGTTAAGTCTTGTGTGGACACGACCGGCCTTTGATGATGTCACAACAGCCTTGGCTCTGGCTTCATAGCATCAGTCGAAACAGCTGTACTGACCGGCCGGCTGTAAATGACGTCATACCCATTGGGGGGGGGGAGGTCAAGTATTAATTTAAAACGAATGTTCAGTACACTTTTTCCTCTTGAATTGGTAGGCAGGGGGGTTAAAAATTACGGCACTCATATGAATGAAATGTCAAACATTTTTTGCTACACAAGAAAAAAAAAGGGGGGGGGGGGTCTACACTAATATATGTAATATAAGTGTGATCTATAAATGTCGTTATTCACCTGCGAGTAGGGGGAAATATAAAGGAAATATGCATTTTTTTCCTTGATAAAGGGAGGGGATTACTACACTATTATCTGTTATAGGGTCATCTTTAAATGACGTCATACATCTGGGAGTGGAGCAAGTATGAAAGATATTTTTTCCCCTTGAAAATGATGGGGGGGGGGGGTTACCTATAAATAATTTTATACACCTGGGAAGGTGTTAAATTGTTGAGAGAGGGAGCGTTCTAAGATACTTGACTTACTAGTACTAGCCTCTCTATTTTGTACTTGTTGGGAGGGTTTTTTTTTTAAAGATAACTAGTAAGAGAAGTCAGACTTTTTATAACTGTTAAAATTGAGGAAGGGGCCACACAAGGGAAAAAGTGCACGACGAATATGAAAGGTATCAAAGTTCATAAAAGCGTTGAGGGCTACTTATATTTTCTTTCATACATCACATTGAGCAAAAGTTAGTTACTTTTTTTAAAAATGGATAATCTCAAAATCATGATGACAATGTAAAAATCTTGGCAAATTTGACATCATCGCGGTCAAATATTTGTGACACGCAGAAATCCCCGTCTGATTGTTGGATGGTTCGCATTTCATCCGCCCGTTCGCCAAGGTCGGAGGCCATTTTGTTGAAACAGATAGCTCCGCGAAGCTTTCGGTATTAGCCGCTAAATACTCTAAGATGGACGGTGTTTGAGATTTGCGAGACTCTCTCGCTTCGCCGCAAACATTGAAGAGGAGGAGAAAAAAAATCACAGCCGATGTTTGTGCCGGTAAAATATAGATTTTTCTTTTGGAAATTTGCGTCAGGACAAGGGACGATCATTAGAGTGATCGCCCCTTGCTGTGCCCCATCTTTGAATCGTAGTATTGTGTCGGCAAATCTTTACTTAGATGCTAGCGTGTTTGAGTTTGGATTGGTCGGCAGTTGCGGCATGGTAGAGGGCGTGGGCAGAGTTCATGGGGCTTTAAATAGCCGTTCTCTAAAAAAAAAATAGATCTGATAAATACATTTTAAATAGCTGATAACGAGCAAGCGTAGAGAAATCTGAGAATGAAGCTTTGACTACCTTAGAGTAAAGCATTAGAAGTGGGTAGACTCGAACCTCATACGCTCAGAAACAACAGAATGTTGAGAAAGACTGAAAGAAATAGATGGGATAGGGACTGATTTGGTAGACGCGATTTTCTTTCCTATTAAGAAATTGTGAAACCGGTGTTTCTTTCAGACTTTTTTCTCCAGGGGCACCTGACACTTTCGTCAAGGGGGGGGGTCGCTAGATTAGTTTCCAGGGGTGGGGGGAGTGTGGTGACTCCCCCGAAGAGATACCTGAAAGAAACTAAGTGAAATGTTTGAAGCCTATCGATCAAATATCTATTTGATTTTTACTTTCTTGTATCCACAATATTTAGGAACTACTGTAATCGTACACAAAAATCACATGCAATTTTCAGGTTTTCACCGTTTTACACCTCGGTGTTTCATCATATACGTAGTATAGGGGAATTATTTTAATTGGGCAAGAAATATAAAATCAGATTTATCAAAATCTCGACATTTTACGCGTCATCTATTCGGAAGAACTGAATTTTGCAATCTTGTCTATATGTGTGTGTGGATGTGTCGGTGAACACGATAACTCGAGTACCGTCACAGCTATGTTGATGAAATTTCATATTTAAGTATTATATTAAATTTGTAGTTCAATATTAACTTTTCAGCAATATCCGGTCACCGGGAGTGGAATTTTTCAAAAGCCTATAACTCGAGTACTGTTTCTGATAAGTAGATGAAATTTCACATA